GCCATGAGAATAGACCAGGATGTTTTTATTTTATGTGTTTATGTTGTCATATACACACACACACATATATATATATAGCATAACACAGACACACAAATATATACAGTATACACAGACTGAAGTTCTATACACACACATTTCCTTTCTGTCTTTCTCCTTAAATGCAATTCTCCTCTTAAATACATAGGCCACACACAGAGCTGCCATAGATATCAGTGGCAGTGCATATGTGCATCTTTGGGCTAAACTTAGTTTATCTGGAATATCTCACGCATGAAGCCCAGCTTCATTTTTTAATGCTACTATACATTTAACTTTTATTCACTCAACAAGAACATTGATGATCCAAAACAAATGTGAAGAAAAGCACAGGGTTTGTTTTGGATTCTTGAACAAACATTTCCAAGGTCTACATCAGTATGCAATGTTTCATATTTTATAGAATATCCATCCCAATATGAGCTGCACTTCAACAGGAGTAGGGGCAGAAGGAATCTAGGCCTCTATTCCTGAAAGTTAACTTCTACATACACACAGCTGCAGGATACTTCAGTGTTAATTCTTATGTACATAATGTATTTTTTAAGCTTGCATTGTTAAAAGAAAAACACTAGTAACAGCAACAGACTTGCAAAAATTAATACTTTCCACATTCGCCTTAACAAATAGTTAAAGAATATAGGTTATGTTTATGAGATATGAAGAGGTCATAGGTCCAAATCATCTGCCTGTGATATTAACATATCTTACTTCCATTTTCTTTGAATTTTTCTCATATTAAAAATAAAAGCGAAGAAAAATAGTATCTACTGTAGCCTTTCCTCAAACTTTTACTCCAGCTCTTCCATCATAACCACATTCCCAGATACACCTTCTGTGCTCCCAGTTTATGCTCACTTGCCGCCCAACTGCAGCTCATTAAGCTGCACACCTGCAGTGACTTAGCTTTACTCAGTTCTTAACCCACCCCAGCAATAGTGAAATTGTTCGCACTTCGTGCTATCATTAAATATTGTCTTCTCATCAGGGTTTTCACAACTGTGACACCCTCTGTCAACTTTCCTGATAAATCAAACCCCTAATATTCAGCAGGTATCTGAAGAGCAGCTATTAACTATATTAAGTACACACAAATAGTTAACTATTTAGGAAAAAAAAAAAAGGTAATTTCCAGCTTGGGTGATGTGGATGACAATTTCATCGAAACAGGTGCAATCAGTTATGTAACTGCATGTCACTCAATACTTTAGCGTGTCAAGAGATGCAAGAACCATTTAAAGCTTTTGCTTTTCACTTAGCCTAAACACCATCTTAACTAAAAATACTTTCTATAGGGACACCCTCGCCACATAAATATTGTGACTTTTAGATGCTGTCTGTATTTAAAGTTCCTGGGAAGCATATGCTGTTTATGTATCTCCTGTATATGCAGGAATAGAGTAGATGTGAAGTTAGAGCTGCCCACCAGGGAAAGAGTACCGGGTAGGGAAAAAAGGCTTTGCTATGGGTGTCTTTAGTATCACTCAGATTTCTAGAGATGCTCTGTTTGCAAGTGGTTTCACGGCCTGTTCTGTGGAAGTAAAGTAAATTTCCAACCGCAAATGAAACTCTACAGGCAGAGCTCCCCAGGGGGAACCCATGCTGGAGATTTCCTTCTTGTGAACCTCCACCCAGGACTGAATTTATCCCTGAAGTAACTCTACTGATGTTGGTAATATTACATCAGGAATCAACTTCCCTTACCTCATTTGTTTCATTTTTAAAGCCAAAGAGGCCAAGATAGCCACTCCAAAAGAGTAAACCACCTTATTTTCATTTCCATCTGTGCAGCTACAGCAATTTAGAGCCAGCTAAGGACCTGTCCCACTGTCTCTAATGGTGGGTTAGATTTCATGGTCAACGTGGGATGATTTTCTAGCGAAGGATGTTGATACTAAAACAGTCCCAGCTAGTTTAGAGCTGGATTCAGGTTACCTTCAGTTGGGGTACTGGGGGCTGAAGGTATACAGAACCCTTTCCAGCTTAAGGATATTAGTAGTGGCTGAGTACAAGAGGCAGGAGGTAGCGATGGCATATGTATTGCCCAAAGTGCTTGAGATGTATAATTTCTAGGTAGGTTAATAATGATCAAAAGTCTCACCCCTCACAGGTAGCTGGTAACTCTCTAAGACTATGCTAGAGGCTAGGTTTCAGACTACTGCCCTCAAAGTCCTGAGAGCTCCCATTTCTGAGTTAGCCAGAGGCTGTGGTGCAGTAAATCCAGAAGCCGTCACTCCTGTGATATGTTCCCTCTACTCTCTATCAAGCACTGCTGACCTTCACGCCCACAGAACTGCTTTTGCAAAGCAGTGCAAAGGTCCATGGCTTCCATGCTCCGTTTTACATTGGCCACGTGATTTATGAGTAGAAATCTTGTAAAAATGGAATTGCAGCTGCATTTCGTTCACTGACAGCCTGGCAAGCATAAATCACAATGTTAGTGCCAAAATCCCTGCCAGTGGTCAACAGATTTTATCAAGCTTTGATAGCCTCCAAAACCAAGTTCCACAGAATCTTGCTCTAATTTATTACTAACTTGCTATTAGAAAATCTCATTCAATGAACAATATTTGGTACAATGCCGAGTACACAAAATATCTGCAACACCTGCAAATAAATAATATCTTGTGATAATCTAAAAACACATATTTCTTATTGTTTCCTGGGAAGGATGGGGAAAGTAACTTGATTATAAAACCACCACAAATCCTGTGCACCATGTAATCAGTCTCATTTTATGCACTGACTTTCCTCACATCTGTGCAAATGAAGTCATTGTTACAAGGCACAAAGAGCTGTGGCATATAATACATGCAGCTATGAAACCATGAGTGCTGTTACGTGTTGAGTCTTTAAATGGAAGGTGGCACATCTGCTTTTGGCATAGGAGTGTAAATCAATCCAAGATGTTTATTAAAGAGTAAGTAACAACCTGTCCACATACCCTTTCTTCCATCCAGCCTTGGTTTTGTTCTTGCTTTGTTATTTTCCTGGCAGTTAAATACAGGCTCTGCACATTGAAAGTATGTGTTGTTTCTTTACGTACGGATAATATAACATGTCACATAATATTTAACAAGTATGTGATGGGGAATGGTTTGGACAAAAACACAAGCCAAAATGAGGTGGGGAGGAAAGGGTAAGTACAAACAGCTACACCACAGTGACAGAAAAGTTTATTGCTCTGGATAAGTCAACTATGTTTCCTAATGCTTTTCAAATTAATAATATGACCTAGATTTGATTTCATGTCCTAGCTCTTGGCAATTAGTACGCAAAATTTGCACCAGTGAAGGCTGGTGAGTATTTTCTTCCTCATCAATCAGAGGCATGAGCAAGCATTAAAAAATGGAGTAGTCAATATGGCTTGACTTTGTATTTACTGAAGGTACGTGTACCTTCCACAACCCTGTCTGCCTGAGCAGGACTGGTAGGAGCCTAACTCTTTCAGCACTTGCATGGGTTGACCAGCAGGAAAGACAACACAGTATCGGCACTGGTCAATACTGGCACTGGAGGTTGGCCTTTTCTGTTCTGGAGCAATTGCTCCAAAGCAATATTTGGTGCAGCCTGCAACGTGTTGCTCTCCCACTGACTGAGAAGCTCTATGGTCTTCAGTAGAACAGCAGTTCAAGGACAACAATACCTTTTGTGGATGGCCTCTTTCATGGGCTACCTGCACGAAGCAGCACCAAAGAGCCTGGAAGCAGGGAAGAAGGCAGTGGCTCTAGGGCTGAGGGTAGAGCCTGGGACACGCAGTGCTCCTTCCTCTTCCATCAGAGGATGCACAGGAAGGTGTCCTAGGATGCCTGGGGAGAGGGACTCCCCCACAGCTAGGCAGGAAGAGCAACCCATTCTGTGTCCCAGTGAAGGGCCTACTTTGTAGCATGCTTTTTAGTAACCACAGGTAGAAAGCAAAATACCATGGATGTGGTCTTCTTGGCTTCCAGGTGGGGAGGTGCTAAGAAAGTGCTGCTATTGAGGGCATTTCAGAAACAAGACATGTCCTCTCAGAGACACTGAAGGGCTCAACCGTTGGAAAGACAATCTCTCTTCTGCGCTGGCAATGGAAAGTCCTGGCTCATTTTTAAGAAACAAGGGTGGAAAGCAGATTGGTTGACGGGAGATGGTTCAGGAAGGCTCACTGTGCAGAACTGGGGATGGCTGTGAGAAAGTTTCAACGGAGAGGTCCATGCTGGACAGGGAACAGAGGCTGCTGGAAGTGTGCCACCCAGGGTTTTATACCTGCACAACTGATGGACTAGACTGACCTCCAAACACCTTCTGTAATTGTTCATTTCTTCTTTGTTAAAATGGTCAGGACAGATTCAAAGCCCAGATTCCATATGCATATGTTTCAGTGAGAATGTTACCTACCAGTTCTGTCCCAAAAGTAGCAAAGATTGCTGTAAATTTGTCTAATTGGGTCTCTGTAGCTGAAACATAGCTGCACAAGTGACCCAGGTGGATTTGCTCAGCAACAGAAAACATACCAGGCCAGAATTTATACAGCAATTACCACTGCAGGCTAGAATTATCTTGATCAGTGTTGTTACAGCATCCAGTTATAATACTTTAGCCAGGGCAAAAATATTAATTAAATTAAATCAGATTACTTGGGTAGATCAGAAAAGTGAAAAAAAAAAAAAAAAAAAAAAAAGCTACACACTCTGAAGTTTCTCCTTTTATTTTCTTTTATTTTTGCTTCCCTGTGACTGATAGTGGGACTCAATGGAACTGAACCTTTTGCAAGTCGCTGGTGTCAGCTGTTTGCAGAGTGCCTTGGACAGGTCTCTTCATTTTCATTTCGTCTTTCTATGGCTGACACATATTGTTATTTAAATTAATGCTTTTGAACTCAGATTTTTTTAATGCAAATATGTGCTGCCTTCCTACTGAATTGAAAACATCAACACTTCTTTTTCCCTATGAAAAGTAGGATAAAGAGTAATACTCTCAGGGCTGAAGAGGAGTTGGGATGTGAATTTAACCTAAAAAAGGGAGACACACACACGGTGAAGTATCAAAATAATGGCTAAATCTTCCTTCTACCCAAGATATGATTAAGGCGGTATTCTATCTTTTAAAGAACAGCTGAGGTAGGGAAGGTGCCAAGACACAGCAGGCTGGTCACCCTATCTCAAGGCATTCTGTATACAATGGTTAAAGGAGTCCACACAGAAGTGAGACACACTACATGCCTCCAGAAGTTTTAAGGTGCTCTATCTCATCCTTCCTTTTGAAGGTCATGACTCAGTTTGAAAGTAGGTGTCCTCTCATTTTTAATTTTTTGGAAGCTGTTTACCAGGAACCATAGGCTGAATTTACAGAACATCTTACAGGGAAGTATGGGGAAGAAGGAAAAAAACAACAAATCCTTGGTTCCCTTTAGAGTATACTGCTTTCATGTCTCCAGGCTTTTCTTTTACCTGTAATGTCTAGAAAGATACATTTTAACAGAAGGTGAACATGGAAGTTCTCTAGTAATCAAGTGCCTCCTGGAGCTGGAGCTTTCTGCTGATGAAATATTACAAGATATGGAAAAACCCACATCCCATGTCCCCAGCATCAAAAGGGTTGGTAACACCTGAGTTACATCCTGATCTCTGCCAGACCAAGAGGCGTGTGATACTGAATCATGTGGACTGTCTCACCCCTTTTCCCATTGGAAAGCAGCAAAAATGACAGAGTCTGTGCCCACTAGCACCCGTGCCAGCAATATTAGCAAACTGACCTCAGACACTGAGCTCCCCTTTTAATCACAGAAGTCGCCGTTTTCTTTCAGTCAGTAGTTGTTCCAGCCCAGGCTTTCTACATGTTATTCCTGGACTAACAAAAACCTGAAGTTCTGCTTGCCCTGCAATATCAGTTTTATGGATGAGGAGAAAACTTCAGTCTGCCAGGTGATAATTTGGCATCCTTATGTCAGTGTTAAAATCCCTACAGCTGTAAATATTTATTGAATATGAAATATACTCTTATACTCCAGCTAGCACATTACCATGTGAATAAAACTAACCTTAAATACATCATGTGCACTCCACGTTTTATTCAGTTTATAAAATTCTTGCTTCTTCCTTCTTGCTCTGAGCATTCTTAGCTTAATATGGCTATTCAGAAGTAGAGTGAGTCCTGGTGTGCCTTGATTTCTTTGCTAATACAACGTTTTGCTTCTTATATTTCAGCTCTTACAGCTTTTGCAAAGTTTTGATTTGATAGGACAAGAACAGTGAGGGCATTAGGACCACGAGAAGGACGCACACATTGCTCTGTATTATGTCTGGCAAAGTGCTTCCTGACTGAGTGCCGTAGTTATGTGTGAAACAAAGTCAGGGACCGACTAGTTCTCATCTGTTGCTCACAGTTAACTTGAAGCCTCTGAACGGGGGAGAGCTGTCAGATCTGCTTGCAGAGATAGGTGCTTCAATCCAGGCAGCAACTGGAAACTTTGAAGAAGCAGGATCTACTCAGGAAGGAAACTATAAGAAATGGAATTTCTTTTTACTTAGAATTTAAAAAGGAGAAAAATCAAAACTTTAGTTACTCTTTTCATCAGCTAAGCACGCGCTTTTTTAACCAAGCTGCGACTCTGTATAATAAAGGGATCTACTTTATCTCACTGGATCCATGCTACGTTTTACTACAGTAAGTGCAATATTAACAGAAGTGCTATATTTTGCCTCTAAATAGAGAGGAAAGCATGAAACGGCATCAGTGAAATGTGAGGGGAGCAAAAAAATCCTCTTGGCAGATAGTGAAAACCAGGGCTTTGCTGCAACCCGAGGACCGGAGTCTGAGGAAGATCCAAGTGATATTTAACATGACCATCTGTACCATTTTGTCACCAACAGTATGTTCTTGAGGAAGAAGTGCAGATATGGATCACGTAAGCTGCAGTTTCTCTTGTTGTTGCTGATGCTGGGCTTTTTGCTACTGATGGTGACAACGCTGAATCCACCACCCAGCAACCAGAGCAAGGAAGGGACTTTCCAGCCTGTGGAGTTCAACCTCCGGGAAGGCTATCAGGTGGACTTCGTGGAGACCCAAGAGATGCTGGAGACCCAGGAGGACAGCCAGCAGTATTACCCTCTGGATGGGCTGTCACCTTTCATCTCCCTGCGGGAGGACGAGCTGATCGCGGCCGTTGTGTCGCCCACCGGCAGAAGGGACCACAGCAGGGCCAGGAAGGGCTATCGCGTGGTGAGGCAGCAGAGCCGGCGGCCGGAGGGGGAGGCTGCGGGGGGGCCCGAGTCCCGGCCCCTGTCGCTGCCTCCGCGGGCTGGGCAAGGGGCCGCCGGCGGGGAGCGGCCGCCCGGCCTGGAAACCCACGGCTTTAACGAAGCGCTCAGCGAGCGGATCTCGCTGCGCAGGGAGCTGCCTGAGGTACGACACCCGTTGTAAGTAACAGAACCTATTTCGTTTCTGGCAGAAAACCTGCTTCTTACCCTGCCGCCGTCCCTCCACCCCATCCCCACCACCACCCCCCGCCCCCCACCCGCCGTGAACGTCTCCTCTAAACCCCGCGCCTTTCCTACCCAACTCTTCCCTCCGGCCCGGGATAACGCTTTTCCCCACGCCGCCTGAGGAAAACCCTCTCCCCCGCCACGTCCCTCAGAGCCAGGTGCACCCCGAGCCGCCCCAGCCCGCTCCCACGGGGAACACGCGGCGGCGCGGCCACCCCGAGGCCGCGGCAGGTGCTGCCGGAGCCGGCGGCGGCGGCGCGAAACACCGCCGCTCTTCCCTAGCCCCCCAGGAGCCGACGGGCGGCAGAAGTGGAGGGGGCTGAGGGGAGGGGGCTCCGGGTCAGAAAGGGGAGGGCTGGCGGCTGATGGGTGCTGTTATCGGCGCTTCCCGCGTCCGTCCGTCCGTCCGTCCCCCCGTCCGTCCCCCCCGCCACGGCACGACCGCGGCGGCCCGGCCCGGCCCCACGGCATGGCGGCGGGCGGCAGCGCCCCCTACCGGCGGGCGGGGCGCTCTCCGCCGCGGCAGGTGCCGGGGGGCGGCCCGGGCGCGCTCCGTGTGCCCAAGCCCCCGCCGTGTCCGTCCGTCCGTCCGTCCGTCCGTCCGTCCCCCTCCGCGGGCTGTCTCTCTGTCGGTCTGTCTGCTGGGTGCTGTCGAGGGCGTGCGGGGTTGTCGAGCGGGACAGGCGGCTGCCCCGCTCGGCCAGGCCCCGGCCCCGGCCCCGGCCCACCCGCCCTCGCGCTTCCCGCCGCTACGGCGCTCTCCTCACGGCGGGCGCCTGCCGCGGCTGTGGGGTCGCTGGGCTGATCGGGTGATAAAAGGAGTCAGGGGTTGGGGCTTCCGGCTTTTTTTGGTGTAAGGGACCCGACAAACATTGAAGGGAAACTCCTGGGAGGCAGGAAGGTGGAGATGGGTCTGACCGGGCCTGCCCGACACCACGGTAGCTGGCAGGAGCCCGGCTGCAAGGCCGCATGGAGCAAGTGTGTGAGGAGACTTGAGAGCCAGGTACTCCCAGCAGCCCAGGACGGGCAGCTCATCACACTTAAAAAGGGGCCGAGGTGTTCCGACGCTCCCCTGCCCAGGGGGGAGTGAAAGCGATGTGTGTGGTTATCTTTTTGTCTTGCCTCCTGTAATGCAAGCTATTGTAGCTTTCCCGTAGGACACAGTGAAAAAGATGCACCGGAAAACACTTAAGACACAGAATATATATAATACTTTTTTCTAGTGATGATTTTCATATGTTTAAAGACAGCTGGTGGATCTAATTTAAGGGGGCAATCTTAAGGAAAGATAAATTATTTTCTATGCTTGCTGACCAGATTCAGTGTTAATTTGGGTAATTCCACTGAATAATGAAATGCTGATACTATGTCAGTTCTTTTTCACCATGCTTCTCTGGCAAGTCTTCGAACTACGCAACGTTCAAGGGAGGAATAATGACCCTGGTTTACTGCCTGTGATGTGAGCCAAAAAAACAGTTTTACTTTGGCAGCTGAAGGGCTATCCAGCTAGAGACAGGTTTAGTGAATACTAATCTCGGTAAGATTTAAGCCATGGTGTCAGAGAACCCAACCAGCTAGATGCATTTCAGTGAATTCGCTCCATGGACTCAGTCTCTCTTACTTGACATTAGATGGTAAATTTGTCACACCAGAAGCTATACCTACTAATTGTAAAGCATTTCCAGATACTGTAAAATAGGGCTGGCCAAACTTCACACTTGAATTCTTCATGTTTATTCTTAAACCAGAGTGTAAAATGTAAATGCCGTAAAATATACGTAGCTGTTGTTCCTTAGAAAATCATATAAAGAGGTCTGTTGTACTTTGCATTGGAGCAATGAGCAGCGTAACTACAGTTTTTTCTTACGTGAAGAGCACAGAACTCTGCTGGAAATAAATCAGAGCCTGTGGGCTGTGGTGTGCCTTGACAGCCCAGGATCCAACTTCCTCACCTGGAAAGCAATACTTTAGACCTCTCTCACCAAACCCCAGCTTCTAACATAACCCACATCTCTTTGCACACCTTTCCAGGTGAATGTTTTATGCTCCTTTTCAGAAAGTAGATGCATAAAACAGTCTCTTACAGCACTCTACTGTTCCTACTGTAAAACATACCCAGGCAGATGAATCAGATACCTTGTTTTGATCCATTTACTTTGAATATCAGTTTTGTCATAGCCAGGGTTTCTGGGTGAAAAAGCCTAATAACTTGTCCAGTTGTACTATAAAGTTGTTCTGCATCAAGGCTCATCCACTGAGGTATCTTCATTCCTCAGAGTGCTTTCTGCTGCTATCAGTTCGTCCAGCTGCCGTTGACACCCTCCTGGGACAGTGGACCTGAATCAAGCCTGTCATTGAGACTTTTATGATGGGGATTCTGCCTGAAAAATTACCTGTTTTCCTCTCTTGGGCTTGAGTGTCAAATGTATCCAGGCAAACAGAAACTTAGAAAGTATCTAAAAAGGTTTTGAGTTTCATTACAAAAATACAGCTCCCACTCGAGTGCTGTTGGGAGCTGAATCTCAATGACACATTTTCCTGAAGGTGAGTGGGAGTCCCTGTCGACATTGCCTTTGCCGTGTCAGAATTGCTCTCCTGTTCATCGCTGCATGTGACAATTCCTTATTTTTCACAAATTGGATTAAATCACTATATCAGTCACAGCCCTGGCTTTTTGAAATGCCAATTTATGATGGACAGTCTGTGAAACTGCTCCAAATTACAGGGAAGATATTTCTGTATACCAGTACCCTTTTTCATTTTTCTGAAGATTAGATATCTATATTGCAAGTCTTTGCCAATCTCCATGGCAACTAAACACTCACCACCTAGGTTATGTATCCAAGTACAATTATTTTCAATTCTTTTCCAATTAAGATTCCACAACAGCCTATTTTCTTGCTATAACCGCAGTACTAGAAAAAAGGTACTGTAGTATTATGGTGTGAAATATTGGTGCTTATAGCTGTACTGAATGTTCCTGGTTGAAAGAGCTGCCTGGTAGTAAAAGGTCTGCATCAGATCTTCACTTTTCTTAATTACCTCTAGATTCTTCTGCCTGAAATTACAAGCACTGCCAAGTCGTGAGAGTATCCTCTTCTCCATCCTGCTGAAAATTGAAACAATTATATGAAATCGTGAAATAACAGCGTTGTTGATTACAGAAAATTAGTGAGCCAAGGACAACACAGATTCATTACACTGTGAAAATCATCATGAAAATTTGCCTCTATAAAAAAATACATTAATATGAAATATTACAAACTATAATAAATTATTATAATCGTGCTCATTTTAAATGTATATTCCCAAAAGTGTATCTATAGTATTCATTTCTTTGTATTTGTTATTAAATCATTCAGACTATGGATTCTCTTAAATGATAAGCAGATTTGTGACTGGATAGCATCATAGGGTCTCAGTCCATTAATAGAAGCACTAAGTAAAATGGTAATAAACATGGCGATATTAAAATTATATCCCTTACATAATCTTCTGCTGAGGAGCTCATTTTTTAACGACCACTGTAAAATCTGTATGATGGTTTGCTTGGCAGTACAAAAATGCTGAAATAACAATGGCCACATTTAGCCAATTCTGTAATTCCTTGAAGTTCTTGCTGCTAGAGATTAAATGAGTTAGGAAACCGAATGACTGCTACTCAGGAAATGAGAAGATTTTAAAATGTGTTTTCTAATGTAAGCAAAGCAGATATTTAGACACAGTCTTTGCATCTCTACAACGGGCATTTGAAGGCCTTTTCTGGACTATATGCATCATCATGCCAGTATAGTGTGTCCTGTGTCTCTGAACCAAGACTGGCACGTCTTCTGTCATGAATGTGATTTGTAGATCCTTTACTTACATTAATGAAACAGTAATTGTTTGACGACAGTTTATAGTTTTCATATACAGTTTCTGTGAGGATGAATAGGAAGTGGTTTTCATTGTTAAATCCTTGAGTTTTCAAAACAACATCTAATTCATGGTAATTTTGATGGAAGTTGTTTCAATGTCATGGGTGAAATCTTGGCCCCGTGGAAAAACTGAGGAGCCGTGGGCCCCAGCTGGCACTCTGGAGCATCTCTAGGAATGCTGTACAGTGACCCATGCAGCCAGGTGCCTTGCAGTAGATTGTGTCAGTACCTGAAGTTGTACAATAAGTAGCAGAAGATGGCACAGAGATAATTTATCCAGCTGGGAGCCTCATTCATCAGTGATTTATTTTAATTGGAAAAAGTAACCTTTACAAACTTGATAGGGAAACTACATTCTTTCTTAAATGTATCTACATTTGTTTTCATGTAAGACATGTTTTGCCCACGTAAGGATCCTTTTTTTTCCTGTACAGCACTGAAATGTTCTCTTCATTCACTAGGATCCTGGTCAGGCAGTGCACAGGGATACTGATCTGTTGTGCTGATGAGTTATTTTACTTGTTAGTCTTAAAGGTACTGCATTTCAGTTCACTCTTTTATCTGTTACTTGAGAAAATGTGGAAATTGGTGGAGGCTGACTGAACTGCTTTATCCCCCTCTCTGCTTTGTCTAATTGTCTTTTCAGTCTTTCGTTGCCTTCCAGACCATTTCTGTTAGAGCTCTGTGTTTTGAGGCAGCCAGAGCAGAAGAATGTGTCCCAGAACACAATGAAACTTCGCTCTTTTTGTATTTTAATTTTTATAGTGTCATTAATGTATTTTCACCTAGTATTCCAGTCTTGGACACCTTAATGCTTCCTTTTCTTCATTAGAAGTGAGCTGAAATCTTAAACTGCTTTCCATTTGCTCTGAGAGAAAAGTAGCCAGTCGTACCAGTGTTTCCAGTGTCTCCCTTATTTGATCCCATGCAGGTGCCTACAGCAAGAATATGACTCTGGTCTGCCTACTGCTAGTGTCATCATCTGTTTCCATGACGAAGCCTGGTCTACTCTGCTGAGAACCGTGCACAGCATTATGGACACAGCCCCAAAGGCCTTGCTCAAGGATATCATCCTAGTCGACGATCTCAGCCAGCAAGGTAGACTCCATTTCTCTGTAAGCTCTTTTTTCCAAAGCTTCGGGGAAGAAACTGGCCTCCTCCAAGAAGTGCGTGAGGAGAGTAGAAGGCAAAGAGGACCCTGAGGAGGAGAGCTCAGCAGAGCCCTGAGCTGGCTGCCAGGTTTCACTCTTCCATCCCTAGAATTCAGCTTAGCATTTCAACTTTGAAATATGTTTCTTTTTCACCCATCATTTCCAATCACTCTGAACTTTCTTACTTCAAAATGAGATCACAGTATGCAAATCCTAGCGTTCCCACTGAACCAGAACTGCTGTAATAATTTCCAGACTCGGACTTTGGCTGAAGCATAGAGTGGAAAACTCCACATTGCTAAAGCAATCCAAAGCACTTGGGAAAGCCAAACACCTGTACTACCTCACTCTGATCTTCGCCTTTTACGAGATGATGAGACCATCCACCTTTTGCTGAAAACAGGAGAGGAGGCTATTAAATTTCCTGCAGGAATAGCTTCACACCTAGTGAATCTCAGTTTCCATTAGTCTCTACTTCTTTTTGACATTACCCTGCTGTGGGAATATCTGGAACATGGCCTACTTGGCCATGTAAAACAAATGCCCCCAAAACATTTTACCAGCAAGAGGTAGCATCTCCTGCTACCCGTTGCTTTTCTATAACAGCTTGAATCAAAGCTCAAACATTTCGGTGACCATTCTCTTTCTGACAGGGCCCCTGAAGTCGGCTCTGAGTGAATACATCTCTAAGCTGGACGGTGTGAAACTCATCCGGAGCAACAAGAGGCTTGGAGTCATCCGAGGTCGGATGCTAGGAGCTGCACGAGCAACTGGGGACGTGCTCATCTTCATGGATTCACACTGCGAGTGTCAGAAGGGCTGGCTGGAACCCCTCCTAGCCAGGCTGTCCAGCAACCGGTAAATATCCCCACGACCTCTGAACTCCCTGCATATGCTAATTTCTGCTGAAAGAGATGTACTTGGAAAGATTTAGGTATTTTTTTTTTTTATCCTCTCTTGGTTACCTTCTTCTTTCTGGTCACATTGCTTTTATTTTCTACCTTATTACCACACACATCACTGATACGTGGAAAGCAGGGTGGGTCACACAGCTGATAACCCTCACTTCACACCCAGTATCACTGAACTGTTAGAGTTTGATTCCAGTTAGAGCTATAAGAAGGCTTCCTGGTGGTCTGAATTAAAAAGGTTGTGGTGTCAAGCTGTTTCCAAATTGGCAAACATCCACCAGAGCAACTGCTGTAAGACTCCATTATTTTTACTTTTTAGCTGTCTCAGTGAAGAAGCCAAGGATAAAATGCTTTGTCTTCCTGAGCCAGTTTGACTACATACCAATGTCACCTGTACCATTTCTCTTCCACAGAAGAAAATAGACTTTCTGGGCAGCCTAGACCATTCTAGCTAATCGCAGATACTCTCACTGACACCAGACTGACAGAGAAAGATACAGATTCATATTTTCTGAGTCTTTCATGTTTAGCTTGGTGCTTGGGCCTGCGCTCTAATGTAGAGCTGAGCTCATCTATGCAGTCCCCCAGTCCTTCAAAGAGATGAAATCACTGCAAATATTTCAAGAATTACATGTCAGTAAATCCTTTATTAAAGGGACTTTTCTGAAAGAAAAATTTGTATATTAGCTTGTCTATCATTACCCATAAGCCACTTTGGAAAAAATGAATAATTGCTAGAGGGGGTAAAAGAAAAAAAAAAATCTTTAAAACCCTTTCTAGACCATTAAATAGTCATACTAAGGACCTTCAAAGGCTGTTCCCAGGCGCTGGAACAAGCTGCTTTTATGGCTGATTATGTTTGCTTATAAGAGAATTAATGTGAGTTTTTAGAAATTATTACATCATTCGGGTGAAAACAGTAAGAATACTGAAAGGAAAAGTAATGCTGCCCTAGGATGTCAAGAATATTCTTTTCTAAAAGGTTGTCCTTGGAAAAGCAGATTATTTTTTGTCTCCTGACTTAGATGGCTTATTATGAATATACTTCATGATTCTTCTGCCTTGAGCTACAGTCTATTGTTGATGTTCACAGAAAACTACTATCTGTATCAATTGGCCCGTCCTTATTCAAGGCTATATTGCTGGAATTAAGAGGTTGACAAAAAGTCTCAGAGGAGAGCTGTAGGGAAGAGAGAATTACAATGGCAAGAGAGAAGTTAGGACCCCACCACAAGTGTAGTGATTGACTGTCAAAAATTATCCCTGCTGAGGGAACGCACAGCCACCAAGCTTACTGTTGCTCTGAGATTTCTGCAGCACTGTCACCAGGGGGTGAGAAAGGGATTCTCTTCCTCTATAGGGCCCATATGCTCATTCATTCCTCCAGAAGGGCGGAATTTAACAGTGAGTTAGCTAATGGCTAATTGAATTAATGGAACAAAGGTGGAAGAGCATTTGGATAACATCATGGGCTAAGCCAAGCCATGGCTTTCTGCATGCTGTTATCAGTCACTGTGTCTGACCCTGGAAGCTTTGTCACTGCAAGTGTGGAGAACCTGCACCATTCTCCAGTGCACAGGGAAGGCAGGCTGTAAAGCACCTTGCAATCACTTTCCATTGCTGTCCCTCTTTCCCCAGCTGAAGGATGGTGATAATAACACTGACCTGATAAGGAAGTCAATTCACGATTTTTCGGAAATTGCTTGTAATGCTTGCATGGAGATCGCTATGGAAATGTAAAGCATTAGCATAGTCAACTTGGCTTCATTTAGCAGTTGAGGAGCTGTTAAATAGAATCACATGCACTCCCTGAGACTACCCAAAAGAGGAAAGTGTAATGAAAAAGGTTTACAGTGACTGGTGAAACATCCATCTTTCCTTTTCTTAACGTACCAGTCAAGCTGCAGCTCATGCACTTTTGCTGGAGAGGCAGGATGGGAAAACACTTAATCACCTAGAGTGAGTGAGTTGTTTGCTGGCACGGAAAAGTGCAGCCTTTCCAAAGCTCAAACCTTTTCAAGAACTTAATGGAGCTGGAGGGAGATTTTAACTTTTAAAATTGTGCTTAAGCCTAATTTTCTAGACTCCTGATCAGATGTACCACTATTATTGTGACTTGCCTTAGAGCAATGCTGAGAGATCCTTGCCGAAACTGAAACCTCACTGCGAGTTGAACATACTCAAAAAATGGGAGATACCCCCAATTCTTAGTAGCCTGTGATAATGACAGACAGGACAAACATGAGAAAAATTATCGCAGTTTTACAAGTATGGAAATATTTGACAGATATTTGACTTGCTCTGGGTGATGACATTTCATCTACCTACATGATGGTTTTATTCACTAACCCAATCAAGATTATTTTCCCCCCAAAGTATTAACTCTTTCTAAAATCACTACACGTACACTTATGGGCACTTTGAACTGGGACTAGTGCTGTGAACCATACCTAACAAATTGACTGGGAAGCTGTGCATCAGCTTAGTATATCACCTAGAGAATGGTTCAGCAGTTTGTAAAAGCATCCCTAGACATTTTGATTATTCATGGATGAATACTGTAGGCACTTGGACAACATTAGAAAACTGGATGAGACGCCCCACAGATCATTTAATTTGACAACTGTTTGTGTTCCAGGATAATTCCAGGTGAGTAGCATGGTGCATATTAATGCAGCTGTGCACTTATTACCGTCATCTTTTGAGGGGTTTGCTTTTCCCAGGAGACTGCAGGAGACAGCTGCTATTTTGTATTCAGTCCAAAGGCAGTGAAAGGCAGAGGGGACATATAATGAACTGTGCCATGAAGCCTTGAAAAAGTTGTTCCTTTAACCTAAATATAGTGACTATCATGTTGAAGCAGGATGGTTTAAAAAAAAAAAAAAAAAAGATCCAGAGTGTGATTCCCGAGAGTACTGCATGAAAGCAAAATGAGCCTTGATTATATCCTTGACAAGGAATTCCACCTCTGTGGCAGAGAGGTGGCTTGCAAAGGGGTAGCTTGCCCTTAGGACCTTTCCCCTGCTCCTTGTTGGAAGGGCTGGTTCCCTCTGTGCTGGTGCACTGCCTGTACCACAGCTCAAATGTTAGGAAACAGAAGCCTGTGGTGTTATTAAAAGGAGCCTATTTAGTTTCTAAAATTCAAAGTGCCTCTATATAGCACCATAATTCTAGGTCTCTAATCTTTAATGAAAATGCTGTTAAATAGAATAAGAAATGAAAACAGCAGTGGAAGAGTATCTCATCTGCTATTTGCTCCCATTCAGGATTGAATGGGAGCCTCTGCTTGTAGGTACAGGAATAGAAAGAGAGCTCTGCTGTCCAGAAAATTTCTGTGTGTTTCTAGTTTTATGGTAATACACTGGAGAGAAGGGAAATATTTTGCGCTGGAGTTGAACAGCTCCTTCATCTCTTTTCATCTGATTCTCCACTTCTCAGTGGCCCATACCCCAGCTTTCTGAGCTACCAAATACGTAAGCCATCTGTTTTCTACCTTCTCACAGGCTCAGATGATCTTATCCATCCAGAGCCCACACAACGCCAGCATCTGAGCATGCATTTCCGTGCTACTCTCCTTGTTTTGAAAACCTTCCATATACTTCACGTATAACAGCCTGCTTCCTGGGACTTCTCTTTTTGCCTGATCCTTTTATATCCTCCAGTTATCACTAGCACTCATTTCAAATTCAGTAATTTAACGTTCTGCATTTACACGGTATGCTGTGTGAAGCTATGCTATCTCTTTGCAATCTTTCATAGTTGATCAGGATCAGTAGGTGACCTATTTTAAAGAAGCTGAGGTAAAGAAACTGAACATGAGAATCTAAAGCCAAAAGCAAATATTGCTGCCAAAAGAAGCAATGAAGGTTTAGGCGTGATTCATGGCACAGTGCCCTGACCGTCCAGTGTAAGGAGGTGTTGGTCACTCCCACAGATTTTGGTACCCCGCATACAAATTTGAATATTTTAACGAAAAAGACAGGTTCAAAAGGTTGGGTTTTTTTTTTTTTTTTGACTAAAACATTCCATTAGCACTATTCCCTAGCAGAGATCTGAAGTATGCGTTCAGTGCTTAGAATACGAGTAGTCCATCAGCTCAAGGAGACTGTTCATATGCCCTAGGTTAGTCTGGAGTTGGTCTGTAAGGCAGTATTTAGGTAATCCTTTATACCATAGCTTTACCATCTCTGATCACTGCATTTTATCTCTATATTAGCCCTATCTAATTTCAAATGTTTTGTGTTACTATTTCCCTGAAGACTTCAGCCAGCTAGCAAAGTGCTTTCAGTGAAAATGCAGTGTGCTGTAGAACCAGCTTGGGTTCTCAGTTACTTACTGAAGTTTTGACTACGTGCAGAGCCAGAGAACTTGGACTGCCTGGATCTCCTAGCTATCTAATTTTTGCAGGGAATGATCCACTCTGAAACTGGTTGAGGAAAACACATCATTTTCATGTTTGGGGTTTTTTTTTTGTTCCTCCTTATTTAAAGGGGGATTTAAACAGATTAAAATCTGTTCTCTTCCCACCAAAAGAAAGTATAAATCAATAAACAGCACTTTCAAAAAACGATGTATCTAAAACATCAAAACAGATGTGCTAATTAAATCTTCCTCTTCTCATATTACTTACTTTAAAGATAGAAAAGAACATCATGTCCATGGTGACTGTAAAGGGTCATGGGAAGACATTTCATTTGCAATTGTATTTGGTTGAGAAATCCCAAACCAGGAAATTGTTCTTGTTTGGGTTGCTCTTTTTCATGGAATTGTGACCTTTTGTAGTTCATGTTGTGTTCCAAGCATTTGAAATATTCACAAGTTAGTCAAACAGTTCAAAGCCTTGCTGCTAGTTGTATTTGAATTTCCTGTTTTTTCCTTTCCTTGGATTCCACAGAGTAAAATTACCAGTAGTTTGCCAGTGTATGTTTCATTTCAGAGTGCTGAGAAGCTGCTGACTGTCTTCCAGTTATCCAGTTAAAAACAAAAAGAATAGCTAAGAACATCTTCCAACTTTCAATTGCCTCTGCTGCAAATCTGCATTTAGAACCACACAAACATCAAACCATCATTGAATATACAGAAAACAGGTCTTTTCTTAAAAAAACATTGATACCGAAAGATAGGTAAAGCACAGCTTGATTAAGATTAAAATTGGACATTGACCAATTTTCACACAGGATAAAGTTACTGGATTCCTCTATTTCAGATCAGAAAGACACTCCCAATATTTAAAGTTTTAAGAGTTTTATAGTGGCAACAAATTTAAGGAGGATCCAAAAAGAAGGACAAGTTCTAAATGGCTGAAATGATATGAAAATATAGGATAGTCTGAAATGTCTGGATCATCTGAGCGTATCTGCACTGTCTCTGTATGAACTATCTTGGAGATGCACATGTGGGCTAGTCTTCATGGTCAAAGTTTTTTGGATTGTTTAGTCTACGTTGCCTCCTCTGGCTTTCACTCAAATATGTCCTCCTGATATTTTGCTCTTGACTCTGAAACTGTAAAATAAACTAACCTGGGATCATTAGTTCCTCAGTCCTGTCTGGATGACAATGGATAAACAAATAGCACTAGATAGCATGCATTTCAGCAAGTAGCAACAAACTGAGGTGGGAAGTACACAACTCCAACTACACTCCTAACCAGGCAGTTGTCAGAGATACTTGTACACTGGGGAATGCAGCAGGCTGCAGAAATTACAGTTACAGTGACTTTTCATTTTTTGAGGTTTAGTCGTATAAAACCCATTTAACTTGTTAGATGGATTTTTCTCAGCGTATCAAAGAGAAAACACCTTCTTGTGTCAGCCCATCAGGACATTACCTTTTAGTAACTTCTAGAAGAAGTTAGTTTCCCTTTCGTGCTGTTAGTGAGTGAAGGTTAAATACAGCTTTCAGTAGAAAGGCCCCTGCTGGCTTGAATTTGAGGTGATTGCTTCTGTCCTGGATACAAAACTATATCACAGGGGTATCATCAAGAGAATCAGGGGAGGATATCAGCTTTATTATTTTTAGTATCATTTCTTTCCATTTCTTTTTCAGTCTTTGGGGAGAAAGACATCAAATCACTGCCTTACTGTATATGCCTACAAATGTAGCAGGTGACCATAAAATTTTCTCTTCTATTTATAAACCCGATGCTTGTTTCTAAGGGTGCCTGTTATTACACATTACAAAGGCTGGTTTTACACCCAAACAGAGAAATGTAATCACTTCTCTATTTTAAATCTTTCTGCCTTTAGCTCATCGTAGGGCAGTCTGCTCTCGTTAGGAAGCAAAGGAATAACTGAGTCATTTTAATGCTACCCTCTGCATAGTTCATACAATTCACTGACAATCAGTAGTCTCTGTTTCTCCATGGGCTTCTAAAATTCTCTACAGGAAATGGCAACTTTGATAAAACAAAATTTGGAGTTTCCCCTCACCCCAATACTGAAAAATAACATTAGTGCTTGTAAAGGCAGCTAATATATGTCAGGATTCCATTAACATCACCTAGAGCTACCACCTTCCTCAGCTGGTTCTGGTCTCTGCCATGGAAAAGTCCAAAGGGCTCACTCTGCTGGAGGCTTCTGAGATGACCTTTCTTCATTGACAGTGTTATGTTTTAAGCGTATTTCTCTCAAGAGGGACCTCTGACCAACATATACATCTTTAAAAGAGGAGGAGATAAAACCTTCTACTTTTTGCCCCCAAAATGGCCATTTAATTTCTCTTTCTCAGTTTTAACAGGAAGCTATTTTCTAGGGAAAGGGCTACTCCAGAATAATTTCCTATATGGATACCCTTACTCTAGAACAAGAGTAATTTTTTCCGGTGTACTTTAATCTCTAGTAACTGTTACTGATTTTTATCCAGCTGACCTTCTGTCTCTAGACAAGCCCTTACACTGAGACCAGAGGCTAACCTTTTTTTTTTTGCATAACAGAGAAGGGATGGATAACGTTGTTCTTCAACACTTTTTTTTTCCTGCAGTCCCTCATACCATTGCATTTGTACTCTGAAAATTTCCAAATGTCATTGACCTGGAAACAAGGAACTCTGATGGCTCTTCTGAACTACCAGTTAATTCCAAGATGATGTACAAGCACACTGTGAAATACCGTGGCATGTTTGCCACAGGGAAATGTCTAATACCTCTTCTCAGTCGAATCCAAATTAAACTCAAGTTAGAAATGATTTGGAGGATTGCTGTTTACAGTGTCATGGCTCTGTTCTGGCACTTGAAAGTAGATTGCCCACTGTGACAGTGCATTTGCAAAAGCATTTTAAGCTTGTGATAAAATACAAGCAGAAGCTGGCTTATGAACTTAGTGATAAATGTTTCTGCAGAACAACTGGTAGAACAAAATAAGGATAAGTGCATTGGCCTGAAGTGACAAACTCATGAAGTGTGTGGGATATCTACAGGAGAGTCAAAGGATGGTAAAGTGTGTGGGGCCAAAATAACCTTTTGCTATAAACTGTGCATCCACGCAGAGCCTTTATCATCACAGGTTGGAGCCTCTGTGTGAAATAGCTTTAAAAGAATACCGATGGTTAACTCGTAGCAAAATCCTGATTAGCTTTGAATGACAATGCGAGGTATAGGTTATCAATAAATTATTGAACTTTAGACTCCTCACTGCAGGCTCAGTATTGCCATGCACTGAGCACCCGAGTTTCTGTCAGCAGGGAAAATAAGGGTGCTCAACATCTAGAGGAATGCTTGCGCTTGACCATGTCAAAAAGGAGAACCACTGCTTACTAAGAGAGTAGTGAACTTAATTTGTGCTTTGGCTTTGAAAATAGATTATACTGTCTTTTTCAGAAACAGCGTTGTCTCCCCTGTCATAGATGTCATAGACTGGAAGACTTTTCAGTACTATCACTCTGTGGGCCTGCAGAGAGGTGGTTTTGATTGGAAACTAGATTTTCATTGGGAACCAGTGCCAGAGCGTGAAGAGAAGGTACGACAGTCTCCCATCAGCCCTATCAGGTAACAGTCCATCAGCCAATATGCCTCCGCTCAGCTCAGCAGCAAAACTGTACAATTTGGGTCGTCTTCCAGCTAGCAGAAGAGAGACGTGGTTACTTGCATATGCTCAGTTAGCATTCTTTGAAGGGGTAGGTTTTTGGTTCACACTGAATCTGGTTGGTCTTCAGTAATCATTCTAACTAGATTGCAGTCATACTTTCAACACGACAAATAATTTTCCAGATATTAAGACAACGAGTATACAACTTGACCAGACAAGGTGTGGAGGTTTGGAGGGAAAGCAAAAGATGGATCATGTAGAGTTAAAAGAGATGTCTTAATCATGATCTGTTTGTCTGTTGTTTTGGGTGTACATGTATGTAACTTTTCCCACTGTTCTGAGCTTTATTTAATAATTCAGCTCTTGTCTCTCTTCCCTGAGCAAATCCTAGAATTCAGTTTCAGTTGTTCTTTCTTTTGGTTATATAACCAATTCATTCACTCCTATATGGAGTGGTATTCAATCATTTTGCAATCCTATCTCTATGAAAATGGCAGGATTTTCATCCTTCACATAATTCCCTACCCAAAACTGAAGGTGTTCACTTCCAAACTGTTTTCTACACAGGAGTCCTGTGGTAGCTGGTGCAGTGGTGGCCATGGATCGACATTACTTCCAAAACACTGGAGCTTATGATTCTGACATGACCACGTGGGGAGCAGAAAATCTGGAGCTATCTATAAGGGTAAGAACCTTAGTTAAAACATCAAGCTGGGGTAACTATTGGACTTTTAAGGAACCTGAATGATAAGGCAAGAAGCAATTTATAAAAGCAGTTAAGTGCAAAATGTCTTGGGATATGGAGAATATTGCTTTCCTCGCAGATATCTCTCCCCACACTGTGATCTGTCAGGACTGTACAAGAACATGAAGCTGCTGTGAGTTGGGAGCATTATGTCAGGAGAAGGAAGTTTCACTGGCTATCACTATCTGCTTGAGGACAGAGTCACTGGTTTTGACACCTTCTAAAAGCTGCCTCCTCTTCTTTTTTGGCATGTAGCATGCACCAAAGGAAGAGGAGCTTCATTTCTTTGCCAATATCTAGTTTTAATACCAAATTTTTTATCTTAAATTATTTGCATTGATTTTTGCTGAATACAAAGAGTGCATGATATAATGTCCCAGACGAAAGAAGGTGTGCCCCCAGGCCTCTTTGCTATACTGCACTGTGTGCACAGAAAGACATAAAAGCATATAAACAGCCATGCTGGGTCAAATCAAAGGTCTGTCTTGCTCAGTATCTTCTCTGTGTCTCTGTATCTGTGGGGAACAAGTGTATGAAGAAGCACATAATAATGCTCTTGCTGTTAGAAATGTGCAGATTAGGATTTCCTGAGGCAGAGTCTATAGAAAGGAGCTTCTCCTTTTTAGATAAAGGTGATCTAAATAAGGTAATCTCCTTTTGTGCCTTCACCTGTATTTCAGACCTGGCTCTGTGGTGGCTCTGTAGAAATTATTCCGTGCTCCCGAGTGGGGCATGTCTATCGAAATCACTTCCCCCGTGCTTTCTCCTATGAAGAGGCCATTGTGAGGAACAAAATCCGAATAGCGGAGACCTGGCTGGGCTCTTTTAAAGAGAACTTCTACAAGCACGACACAGTGGCTTTCTTAATCAGCAAGGTAAAGACATCTGTAGTGGTTTGTTTCTGAGGGAAGGAGTGTGTTGAGGTAAGTGAAGGGGGTGGGATAGGGGTGGGGGGGGTCTGTGTGCAGTCAGACATTCAATGTGCGTGGTGGTGGGGATAGTCTTGTTATGAAACCTTCCAGGGGAAGAGCTGTCAGGTCAGGAAGGAAAGAAAAAAACTTGTGCCTAGGAATTGTTTGCTGAAGTTATCAAATCTCTTAGAGTATGACTCTTTCTCCAAATGAGTCCTTCTTCAGCTTGCCCAACAAGCTGGGATTTATTTTTCCACCGACAGTACATGGAGGGTTGCAGTGAGTCTGAAGTGGAAGCTAGCAGCACTTCGTGCTCACAGAGGTTTCATTCTTCGTTACTGAAGCTCTTCCTCACGTGATTGATGAGGATATTCAGTAATATTCATGGGCACGTGGCAAACTGTGGTGTCTCTCCTGCTGGAAGGAAACACACCTGAGTGGTCTAGTGACAAAAAAGGTGATTTTTTTTCCCTGAACTGACAGATGTCCAGAAGCAGCTGTCTGTAACTGAAAAAGTAAGATCTCAGCATAGCCACTATTTACAAGTTACTTTTTCGTTCGAAGCGTCGCGCAGGCACCAGTCTGACCTCCAGGGAGTTGGATTCCCAGCAACCTGTATGCTAAGACAGGCCTGCAGCCAGGTGTGTGGTGTAGCCCGGGCATGCAGCCACCCGTGAACTGTCTGCAGGCTACACACCAGCCAACAACTACAGAACGGCCACGCTTGGTTTTGAGCTACTGTATAATCCACTGCAGATCAGGATCAGTCAAGGGACCGTATATCCCGTGTATGACAAACCAGTGGATGTTTGCTTACTGGGAGTCGTGCAGCTGTGGTTAATGATAAGCTGTTAATGACAACGTGAAGTTCTTAACGTTGCTGCAGTTGTCAGGGCTTTTCTGGTTCCAATACCTTTTCTTGTAACAGTATCCTCTCCTACAAGGCAGTGGACAAGCTTGTGAGCAGTGGTGAATGAAAATGTGTCATTCATCTTTTCCTTCATTTAACAATGCCATGCTTTTAAGAAAAATGGGCAGAGCATGGGTAGGTGCTGTGCAAAGTTTCCCATTCCGTTTTGCTCTTGCATTTGAGTCCTGCATGCCTCAGTCATTGCAGTGCTGGCCATTGCTTAAGAAAGCCAGATCCAGCAGGAGCTGCTTTGTAGTGGGGAGAGGAAAGGGGCTGTGCTTCACCGTGGCTTCTCCCCTGTCACCTAGTCTGACCTCCTTACACTCCACCAGTGGATCTGCCCCTCCAGTCAGCCTGCTATACTAATCCTGGAGCCTGAGGCTATCACGTTCCTTTTTTTTAGTCTATTTTCAATTGTTTAAAAAGCTTCCCCATCCTTGTCTGTGTTGTAGGTTTGAACTCCACTGGCCAGAAGTTCATCAAATGACTCACAAAGGTTACAGCCATGGAATTGCAAGGAGGATGCCAGGCCAAGTCTTTTAAGATGGGCAGTTAGGTCTTTAAATCATTTAATAATTTCCTGAAGGCCTTTCTTGTCAACTCAGAAGCAATTTTCTGTACTAAAAGCTACAGCCATCAGTGATACCGTTTACTAGCTCTCAGCACCGTGACCTTTTGCCTGAGAGTTTATTCTAGCCAGAATACTTTTAGTACTCCCCAAGTATGACGCCCCTTCAATTTTATGATCTCTGTGCTCAGCATATCATAACATAAAAGGCCCTTTTCTCTGTTCCCTTCTTTCACAGCCGATATTTTCAGTATGCCAGTGCAACGGGATGTTATTCAAAAGACACAAGCAAGCCATGACATTATTGCCTGCAAATCTGCGGGGATTTGTTGCTCTGGGAGGGGGAGCAGAGCCACATATTGGCCTCGACAAAAGTGTCGGTGAGCCTTGACCACTGACATTGCCCACTGGCAGAAAATAACTAGTGACTGCCGTTAAGCTTGCTCTGTAAGTCTCTGCATCACATTCTGCACAGGATGCCCGTGGCGTGAGCGTTAATGCAGATGAATATGGCTCTTCCCAGCTCTCTATTATTTCAGCCACCGTCTCTTTTTATCCTTTTTCTTGCGTGGTTTGTTTAGTTCATCTACAAGCACAGTTTCCTTTCAGATTGGTTTACAGGGATAATGACTTTGTTTACATTAGTTACACCATTTATTTGGCATCGAACGCAGACTGTAACTCGTATGACAAAATGAGATTTACCGCCATTGCCTTCTTCAGCCAAAGCAGAGTCTCATGAGAAACATCTCTTTTTAGGGGAAGCATTTTACTTCTCTATTTCCCTTTTCCAAGAAAACCTCTCGGGTACAGGTTTGTGTGGTGCTGAATTGCTGAATGTTGTTACGCTTATTGAATCTACGACTGATATTAAACTATGAGGCTCTCTTTAACATATTGCAACTGTTGAGCTTTGCCTGTGCAGCTTGAAGGGGCTGGCAAACCCTGCCACAAGGCATGACTGATCCCTGCCGTTAGAAACTGATAGCTCTCCCTTGATCTCCAAGGCCCTTCATTTATCAGCGTTTCCCAGGCATGTCGCAAAGTCCTTTTTTCTTTCTTATGGGTGCAGAGAAATCGCTGGTCTGAGGCAAAGTTATTTATCGGCGATTCTTTGCTTGTGTTACCAATTTTAATTTCTGATGTAGGAATCCAGACCAGTTTCCTGGAATCCAAAACGGCATTTTTAAATAGTAGAAACATGAAGGGGGAAATCTACTTCTGGCAAGAAAGAGGAGAGGGACTCTTAAGGGTGGTGAGATATTTTCAGTATTCGGGCACTGAGAGATTTAGAAAAGTGTTTTGTGTCATTTTGAAACTGAAGGATTAGACACTTACCTGCTTTAGGTTTTCAGAACCCTGCTAGCCATCTTCAGTGCTAAATACCCTCAAATATTCAGACTGTCAGTCCTTTGCAGTGCAGATGCCTGTAGCTGTACCGAGGGTTGAAGGCACTTGACCTTTCTCAGAATAGAGTTGCTACCAGGAAGGGTGAGAGTTCATATTATGTGTACATAAAGCAATAAAACACATCATAGGAAAGGGTTTATGTCTTTATAGCCGCAAAACATATTCACTTACTAGATTTAGTAGCTGTCAGATAATAGTGTGATAGACTATATTTTGGGCTAAATTTTGTCATCACTTACATCCTCTGGTCACGGAGGACTGACAATAACTGGGTAATTTGGGCTGTTGAAGGCCAAGAAACTGAATTTTAATCAGTGGGGCAAATTGCATAGTGAATGACAATCTAATACAATCCCCCTGATTTCAGTGCAACAAGTACCAAACCTGGCCCTGAGTTTTTTAATTAAAAAGATGACAAAGACTGACTTATCTCACAGTATAATACATTTTAGAGAAAATACTTATTTTCACAGTATATGCTACTTCTGAAACATTTACTTCCATCACAGTGCCAGGCTAAATGCTGTTTTAGCACAAACTTGGAGGAAGGCTCTAGCTGCTCCTCCTCCTTTGCATAATCATGAGAGATATATATCAATACTGAAAACACGCAGGATAGAAGAGGTGGTGGAAATAATTTCTATGTAGTCATTTTCACTTCTCGCATGACTAACACAAATACACGAGTAACCTCGTTGCCCCTGTGCTTCCTCCCTAAAGGCAGAGAAGCCAGACTGCAGTGAGCGCCTTCAGCTACAGAAGAGACTGGGCTGTAGAAATTTCCTGTGGTTTGTATCAAATGTGTACCCTGAGCTCTCCCAACCTGAAGACGCACCAAGATTCTCTGGCAAGGTAAGAGAAAACACACTCTAAAAAATGATGAATATCTTTGCATTGTTCAAAGACCCCAGTATGCCTTTCATGTAGCAAGTACTCAGCATAGAGTAAGAGGCTGCTTTGAATAGTTTATTGTCCAAACAGACAACGCAGCAAGGATGGGAGGAGAGAGAAAAGGACAGCAGAGACAAACAAGCCGGTCCAAATTCTCACCAGGAGCTGAGCTCAGACTGTGTGACTCAGTTCAGCATCACAGCTCAGAGGATACCACCCTTAGGTTCTTTAGGTGCCATTCATAAAGAAAAAGTACTGTGTTGCCTCATGCAGATGGCAACCGTAACAGCAGCTGAGATGTCTCCGTGCTGACCCATGTGCTTGAAGTGAAAAAAGCATTTCTTCAGTCCTGCACTTCCCCCAAGGGCAGAGGTGGTAGCAGTGGCAGTTCCTTGGCTGACTGTGTACAAGAGGCAATAGTCTCAGTGCTTTTTTTTTTAACATGTAAGTTGATAATTATCATTCATTAAAGTATGAGTTTGTTCCAGGCAGCCTCACTGGAAGGGATTTTCCCCCAACAAGGCAAGAAGGTCCACTAATTAAGTCACTCTCTGCTATCTGTAGCCAGATTTTACTGTGTCCTTTTACTGTTTTGTCTGTTCTTTACTATCAAAGTTTATTTGAGAAGAGTGTAAGAACTGAGTGTGGATCACAGGAACTGTCACCTTTTTTTCTTCTGGGATATCTTGAGTTTTTTCTGACTACAGTGTCCAGCTGAATTTTCCATCAGCATAAAAAATTTGGTAGATTTCTCTTAACTGTCATAATAGTTAAAACCAGAAGTGAGTACCTGTAATTTAAACAAAACTCACTGGGTAACATTGACCTTTGGTGAGACTCTGCCTTTTATATCAGGTCAATTTCCAGATCAATATGCAAGATCTAGTCTGAAAGGAAAAAATAATGCCTGAATTAAGAGCAAAAAGATATATCACAAAGGAATACAATCACAAAGAAGTTAACTGGAGGATATTTTGTTTGTGTCTGATTGTGATTTCAGTATAAACCTTTACTTACAGCTTTACAATACGGGCGTTGGCTTCTGTGCAGATTACAGACCTGGAAGAGCCATTGCAGAAGGCTCTATCGAACTCTCCCCTTGCAGTCACAGTCTCACCCAGGTACTGTATATTTCAAGTATATAGGCACTCTGTCAGACCTAGGGAACCATGCGGAAGACAGTCACTCAACGTGCATGTAAAAGGCTGGGTTGACATTAGTGGAAGTACTGACGTGTTCAAAATTAAGCATGTGCTAAGGCACTGATGCCTGCTGTCCCGCAGCTGAGTGCCCTTTGAAAAATGGCAACGTTCCGCGTGTCACTGAGGCCAGGTAGAGCCCCACACCTTGCCCCAGCAGAAATCAGTAAGCGCCTATTTGTTAGTGTATTTGGTAGTGCCTGGAGAACAGAAAGCTTGGGAGTAAAAAAATACATAACAATTCTAGAATAAAGGGGATGGGTTTCCCCCATCAGTGCCTAAACTGCAGTCGAAAGACAGGAGGGAAATTCATGTGGACCCCTAAGCTGGCATTAGACTAGCAAGTTCCTGCAGTGAGAGAGGCCAAACCAATGCAGACTGGCTGTAGATGTTTACTCCAGGTCCCAAGCAAGTTTTGCTGCTCACACTGAGCTCGGGGTGAGCTGCCGGCACGCTTCTAGCTGCAGTGTGTGGACACTGTCAGGAACACCCTTCAGTTAAAATATTTATTAAACTAGAAACATTTATTATAGGGTGGGTTTACTTTATACATAATTGCAGTCCACAAAGCCTTACCTTAGGTAAACAGTTATGCCAGAATTAGCTAGTGGGGGTATTGCTTTGCAGGGTCAAGGCTGCTGGGTCTCCATCCCTCATGTTTGGGCTGCATCTTAACAAACATGTACAGGAAATTATTTTTGGAATTAGCATTTTAAAACTAATTGGGACATCCTTCCCTTGTTGTTCAAACAAATCCTCCCTTTTCCAGCACTTTGAATATAACAGCCTGAAGGAAATCCGGCTTGGTTCTGCTCCGCTGTTTTGCTTTGATGTCAGACACGGGAAGGTTATCCCTCAAAACTGTACAAAGGAGTCAGACAACAGCCACCAGCACTGGGATGTCCAGGAGGTCAGTGGCGACTCCGCTGTGCGGGGAAGGCAGCTGATGGTGGCTGCGGGGTCGCTGGGCGATTCACAGGATTCCTGCGTGGGGGAGGGCTGGGGTCCTTGAAGGGCAAGTTTCACTTCTGTACCATTTTCACCCAAGAAATTTAGGATGCTTCTTGCCCATTTACACTGCCTGTGTGAAATAAATTTGGGTTAAAAACGCAAATTACAGAAATCCTACCTAAATTCATATGTCCGTGTTCTACCTGTTTGTCTTGGTGGCCTTAGAGGAATAGAATCAGAATCAGTAGTTGTGAAAGTGAAGAGCAGGGCAAATGCTTGCCCACTTCTTTTGGATAGAGGAAGGGTCTGGGAACCCTGACTCCCCCCCTTTGGGAGTAGGGGAAGCATTAAAATTCCTTCTGCATTGTAAGAGGGGAGTAAGCTTCCTAATTCAGTGGACTGCATGCAGCAGAGCAGGTACTCCTCTACAAGACTGAAAAATGTCATGCTCTAGGACAGCCTGGGAAAATAGCAGTTCCTGTAGTTGTAGGGATGCTGCAATCCTCTGGTACAGCTCCTACTGTGATTTGTTTCGATTCCTAAGGAAAGCACTGGTCCTGTTGAAATTTGGGGGGCTTTAGTACTGTAGTTGATGCTGATGACAACCTGTACCCACAGAAAACAAATAGTGGTGGAAAAGAGATTTCCTGAATTCTGCACCCACCTCTACTGTCAGCTTCAAAAGGAATTATGAATACTCACAATGCCCGAGGCTCAAAGCTAAGCCCAGTCATTACGTTCAGAGCAATACTTAAAAAATTTTGAACAACCAGTCATTACTGATGGTCTGTTGTATGTAAAAGGTTTCAGAAACACGGCCTAGCTTTTACTGGAAACCCCTTATTTGTAATTTGTTCTTTCTTTCCCTCCTTCTCTCATCTTATAGAATGGAATGATTGTCCACGTCCTTTCTGGCAAATGCATAGAGGCGGCGAAGAGCGAAGATGAGAAGGACTTGTTTTTGTGTGTGTGTAACGAGAATGCAAATCAGGTCTGGCAATTCGAACGTTCCCATGCGCTACGTCAGAGATGACCAACAGGTCGCTGTGGAGGCCAAGTCCCCAAAATTGTACATTACTTCTGTTTGGGATTTAAGTTACGTTTCCTGCATGGACATGAAAGATGTCTGTGTTTGCTGTAGCATGCAGGGAAGTTAGGAAGGTCTCTCCTTTGAAAGCCGGGCTCAAATAGCTGCCGCCAGTTCCTGGTTTATTCAGTTCTAGCTAGAATTTCTATTTATTCTGCGAAGCAGGGAATAAAGATACTGTGAGCATCAATAGGTTCTCAACTCTGCTATTGCAGAAGACAAGTTAAGTTTGCCCTTTGAAAGAAACATGGAAAATTGGCTGCCAGACAGCTTGTCTCCAGCATATTATGTGACTTCAGAGGATACAGGAAAATGAATGTTTGTGAAACTTTTTAAACCGTAAGAGGAAGCCAGCTAAACCAAGATAAAGAGTTTTGCCTTTTTTTACAGTGCACTCGACTCATATAAAATAAAGTAGATTTTGTATGCATAAAAAGTAGTAGATGTTTTCACGTGTGATAGCTAAAATTTTGTTTTCCAGTGAGCTTGAGCCAAATTCCTACCCTCTGTGAGATTGCACAGAGCATAAATTAGCACTTAATTAGGCACTAGCTGCTTCAATTGACTTGGAATACCAACAGTCCTCTGTGTTTGGCACACCCTTCCTTAAATCCTTCCTCCACAGTCTAATTTGGGTGGGAGAATGAGACTGAAATATTAACAACGTTGTTTGTTTGTTTTAATGAAATTGAAGAACAACTCTTCAGGAAACTTTTGTGGAATATGGAAGAAGACTGAACTAGATTAGAAAGAAGTACAACTTCCCTGCTTATTTTGAAAGGGAAAATATCAGTGACATCCATTTGCTCTTATAAAGCTATGGAACGAGCTTATTATTATTCCAGTGACAAAAGAGCTGGCTGAAAACAGCAAATGAAGGGAAAAGGCAGGTTTCAACAGTGGCTACCGAGGAAGAAAATACTGGTGCCCACTTCACTTGCTTGCAGCCTAAACCTCACATTGTGACCCTGTGAGTAAGTCTTTCACACTGTCAGTTTTAGCCAAGATGATCTTTTAGATTCTTGCTGTCGTGGGTCTCCAAGCTGATCCTCAAAAGACAGTAGCATACTAAATTTTCTAAACTAGCTGCTTCTGCAGAGCCTGCATCCCTGCTGACCCGTCCTTCAGAGAAGTGAGCGAGAGGTAGTGAGAGTGCTCTCATCCAGTATGCACCGGCAAAGTGAACTCCTGTCAGTATTTTGGTAGGGCACTTTCAATTTTGGAGTTAAAACCAGTAACGATGACGCTTTCCAAGAGCCTGCTAAGACAGAAGAACAAAGATTTGGGAGTCCTCCCACATCAGCACCACACCTGCTTTATAGTATAAATCAGTCATACTCATATGTATTTCTTAAAGGGGAAGGGCATCAGTAATGAAACCGAAATTTGGTTTTGAATGTTTTTTCAAGAGGCAGAATTTATAATTTTTTTTTTTTGTAAACCGTACAGCACATTGTTTGAACTTTAGAGAAAGGAATAACAGAATATGCTGCTCGGAGCCTTCCAGTCACCTGCTCTTGCTAAATCGTAATAAATTGGTTTCAAGCACACAAAACTGGCTACAACAGAAGTCACAAACAGCGTTCTGTGTTCTGCTGTCCAAAATATTTCCCACTGGAGCCTCTGGTTGCTTTGAGTGCTACAGATTCCACACCACGTTCAGGCATCGCTCCAATCGCCCTAATTACCACTTACTCTTCCTTTGATAGCATCAGAATCTAATACCATTTGCTGCTGTTTCATTTAAAACTTCCTGTGATGTTCTTGAAAACGCTTCAGCTTTCAGCTGAAAGGATGGTAGCAACTTCTTCCAGAACACCAAATGATCCCTGATCCTTGCCCAGATCTAGCGTGAGAAAAGACAGTTTCTAAAATTGCATAAAAACTGAGTGAAATGCTGGTTTAGTGACATGTGATTATTTTAAATTATAAGTATGCCAGATTTTTTAAATTATGTATTATTTATTGTACTTTGGACTCTACACGGGGAATGTCATTCCTTCAGCATTTAGTTTAATGATAAAAGTGTATGCAAATGGGATAACTGATCACAAGTGGGATTTATCACAGAATTCAACTATTTTCAGTTCAGAGAGGAAATGTTTGGAATTAAGAGATGCGGACATCCTCATCTCCTACTGCTTTTTAACATAATGATAAAAACCTAGAAAATAAGGTGTGGTGTATATGTATGTACCATAGAAAAACACGTTACATAACGCCTCTTCCAACAATAAAATGAAAATACATGGTTCGGTACCATTTAAAAAGTAACTGTTATTATACTTGTTTCTTTTAGTAACGGTGTAAATGTGCGTTTGGTTTCCAAGGGAACTAAACTCCAGAGCACAGGCCAGAAGGGAGCTGCAGTGTGGCCCAGGAGGTCTCCATTCGGGGACAGCAAGGGGACGCGGATTGTGGGCCCTGCCATGGAGCACACTGCCCTCTAACACGACCGTAACCTCTTACTACACACACACACAAAAAAAAAAAAAGCAAACAGAAAACATCTGTCCCCTGGTTTTCCTAGTTCCCTTCCTGTATGACTTTGGAATGGATCGGTTGGTTGTATCATTTATGCTTTGCCCTGGTGGTGAGATCCATCAGCTCAACCCTCCTCCTCGTGTAGGTTGTACTGGGGGCTCAACAAAGGGTCTCTGCTAAGGGTGCTAGTGTGTTTTCCTCATTTTTGCCCACCTTTCACACAATACTAGCAGGCAGCAATGCTCTGAGCATCACAAAACACGGAGTTATTTTTACCTCTGTATTTAGACAGGGAACAGCATTCCAGGTTCCTCTGATTCCCAACTGACAGGAGAGAAACGTAACAACAGAATGTTTCAGGCAGGAGCAGAGCAGCAGTTTCCAACGTAGAGCCTCGGGCCGGAGCAAAGGAATTCCAGCGTCACACGAGTGACCATCTTACAGCCTAACTCCACCTGTTTCTTTGAATTTGGCAGCCCAGGCGTAGGGAATGCTCTGAGCCAAACCCAGCCACGAAGCTGAGCTAAAAGGTCAGATTCAAGAGCAGGTCACCTTTCAGCTGACAACACTCAATCCATAGCCTGGTTTATTCCTCTTCCAGCTGACTGGAAATAGAAGAACGTAAAGGCTTGAAGTATTATCCAACTTACTTTTCAAGCCAGACCCAGCTGATGCAGTTGGTATCGGCCGTAGTTTGGGGTTTGTCCTGTTAGGGGAGGTGTCATCACTAAGGCAGAGAAACAGAACGGCAGCGTTTTTCTCCACGTGCCAATGTGAAGTTGGAGCAGGGGGAGGGTCAGAGCAACCTTTATGCTAAATCATATAGCACAGAAACGTTCAGGGCATCTCTCAGTCCACGTGTAAGTGCCTCCAGGCCCTCCCTCCGAGATGTTAATTAAGCTGTAACACTCTCCGCTTACTAAAACGCAGGAACTTTGACTACAGATTTCCCCAGGAAGGAGAGGGGCTATGCTGAGGCACCAGGACAAGAACAGCAACAGCCCAGATCTGCGTAACAGCTGGAAGGTGACATGTGAGTGAGAGCTTTCAGATTCTGCCTTTCTATCTCTTTTTTTTCCCCCAGCAGTTCAATTCAAAGCATGAACGTATTTGAAGAGAGTAAAAATGGAGTGTTTTGCAAATACTGGTAACTTCTTGGCTCATGTTTTTAAGCTGTGCAACCTGCATATTTCTGCCCTGAATAAAGTACACCAGTGCACAGTGAAATGTTGTCTTTTCATTCCTCTTCCTCGTGATATGATTGGCTAATGCCCCTTCTTCCTCCTGCTGCAGAATAGCTGGTCTGCGCCTTCATTTAGCCCTCAGGGATGTACAGGGGCTTGGAGGGGGGTTGCTTTTATAGTCCTTTGCCATCATTTTCTGTTGGTTTCAGCAGAAAGGTCTGAACAGGGACTGCAGACGTACGATCTCTGGCACGCCCTTCAGACAGCTCAGAGCTGTTTCCTCAACCGGTGGCTTGGAAGGATGTACCAAAAAAAACAACCTGGCTACTTGACTCGGGATAGCAAGCACGGCATTTTTGTTTTTTTTTTTTTTTTTTTTCTGTTGCCCTTCTAGCAGCAAATGGTGGGTTTCTGTAAAACAGCGATCCTTCTCGGGGATTACTGTGCATCAGACACACGGGACGGGGTTCACCTCTGTCAGCTGCAGCCACCTAAACAGTTGACACAACTAAGCTGGTTGTCCAGGCTTCTGCGGGTCAGCAGAGAACGCTTCCAGAGGTGACATCTTTCTCTCCAAAGACAAATATTTAAACCAGATGGGTGAATCACTATCTAGAAGAGCTTGCTTTCTCTACTGATTAGAAAGGGAGTCTTAATGATTAATTTAGATGGCATGCGTAGCTTTTCAACTGGAGTTAGGTGGAAGGAACATCATCCAAAGGGTACCCCGGGCTAAAATCCCCTCCAGGAGCCCAACGCCAGCGCCCAGCGCTTCTGATTCCCCCCGGATCTGGCTTTACGCACAGTGATGGCAGCCAGGAACAAACTCCCTTGCTACCATCTGCGGTTTCCTCAAATACGCTCACATCTAACTGCCCATTTTTTCCCCAAGGTTGCTTCTTTGTTCACAAACTGGGAGACCCCACTGTGTAGGAAGCTGTTACAGCAGGATCTGGTCCCAACAGCATAAGAATTTAAATTTTCAGAATTTTGAAGATGCTAGCTCTAATATTAACGATAAATCTTCTATATCTTTCTGCTGAGTAGGCTAGAAAGTTACACCAGATTTGCCATGATACAGAACAGATACAGCTATCAGGACTGTTAGTAAGGTTCTTCTTTTTAGCTTGAGCCCAAGTTACGTACAGACCAGCCTAAAGGCTGAAAACATTATTCAATTTCTGAGTAGGTATACTGTGACCTTTGTTAAAGTCCATGACCTCTGGTAATACTATCATGATATTTATTTACACTAATGGTAATTCTGTGTTACAAATTGAGAAGACACTGAAAACAAATTTTTTAAAATATGCATTATGTAAGAATGTTAAATATATTTTAAAATATTTCGTGCAGTTATTCAAAAGATCGCTGCCACACATCTCCATTCTTTGACATATATTTATTAGTCTATCAGTCTTACAGGCTGATAAAAAATAAACTAATAACGTCACTTATATGGTTATAGGCATAAATGAGCTTTAAAGGATTACATCCTTTCGTATTATGTTTTTCCACAGTATTGTTTCTTAACTTCTTAATATCCTATTAGGTGAAAACATTTTTTTTTTTACAGTCTCTTTTTTAATGTGACATTTACATGAAAAACTGAATCGCAGATATGAAAATCAGCTGGTTCTTTGATGCAGCAGGAGTTCATCTCTCAAGATTTAGAACATCAGGTATTTATATGTGAGTACAACCCATGGGGAGGCTGCTTCAAACAGTGTATTCTGTCAATCACTCCACATACATATGGTTTGGGATGGCTGAACAAACCAAAAGTGGTTAAAAGCTGTACCCGAACCAAAATGTTTAATGCGAAACAGTCCTAGAGAGAAGATAGTTCATTGCTTTAGTGTTGTCTTCTTTTTCTTTCCTTTTTATTAGCGCGCTCTGCCTGCTCTGCCTGCTTAGAAATCAAGAGCCAAGCAGTGAACAAAGAGACAGTTTCATAACCTGAATACCTCAAGTGGGCAGATGCGTAAAACTCATCGTGTCAATTCAAAATAAGCTGTGCAGCAAAATTCTCGTTGCCCAAGTTGTCTGTCTGAAACACTGGCTTTGTGTCACCTCACCCCATCTGTGCCTGTGTCCTACCCCGCCGAAAACTCACCGGCTGTGGTGCCAAGAGCTGTTTTAACTTACAAATCAGTCGGCAAACCCTGCAGCCTAGAAGACCGTTTAATCCGACCGAGCAAGGAAAGCTTCCCGACTTCGTGCAGCTTTGCTGATGGGCCACCAGCTGCCGTGGCGCTCCCCCGCCGGTGGCAGGGGCCGCTCCTTCGGGGCAGTTTGCTGCCGATTCCTTTCTTTGCAGAAGCAAAGGAAACGTTCGTTTCCTAGCGCAACAAACCGCCGGCAGCCTGTGGTGTCCCTGTAGACACGCACACGTAGAGCCCCGGGGACGGAGCCTGGTGCTGATGCTGAGGAAATGGCTTTTTGTTTTGTATAAACAACGAGTGGGTTCGGCTCCAGTTCCTGCTGTTGGAACAACCCCCTGCGTGCAGCTCGTGACAGCACTCTTAAGATTCCCTAGTGCCAAGAACAACTCTTAAATCAGTGATGAAAGGGAAGGGTGAAACAAAATAGGTCTTGACATGAAAAATAACTTGATAAGCAAAATAAGTACAAGACCACAGTTTTCTAATTACAAGAAAATGTCCGCCTTCTCTGAAAAATTTAGTATTTCCTACGTTTTCATTCAACATTAGACACTGTAACAGGAGGCTCAGGCTTGGCAGAGAGTGGCAATTCCATTTTGCAGAATTTCCAAGCTTTCTTCTCAGTTCGGTTTGCTTCCAGTGTGGAACAAGACCTGGTGTTTCCTTTACTCTCTGAAACAGAGCCGGGATGCTCACCAGGGGCACGAGGAAAGAGGTCCCCAGGCCAGGCTGCCCATGGCAGGGTCCTGGGCTCCACTTCCTTGTCGCCCCATCGTAAGAAAGAATGTTTTCCTCTGGGTTGTCTTGCTTTCAACAAGCTGGCAAATGTTGATAAAATATTGCTTTGCTGGAATTTTCTTTGCCAAATCTAGCGAACGTGTTTATAACAACTACACTGTTAGCACAGACTGCAGACTCAGCAGAATGAGGAGAATCAATATTCGATTTTTAACAGAGGGAAAGAATAGAGTGGCAAGTGGGAAAAGCTGAATTTCACTTCAATTCCCAAGTACGTCCATCCAGTTGTTTTTACAGCACTAGAGTGCTGTAGAACAACCACCCAACAGGGCTACAACAGTAACAGCAGCCTTCAGGTTTCCGTCCCAAGTGCTGGCTCCTAACAGCCTGCCTGGCAGGGAAAGCTTTTCTCTACGTTTTCATCCATCCAGGCCATTTGCTCTCTCTCTGCTCTCCTCGGCACCTGGGCTGACTTTCAGCTCCCCCTACCAAGCTCTGGAGGGGAAAGGACAAAGTAGGAGGCTGGGGATTAAGGGCCCAGAGCCAAGTTCTTGAAGCTGGTTCAGCCGCAGTAGCCACCCCGCTGTTTCCGACCCTGGTGCCTGACCCGCCCGTGGTTTCCGCTGGCATTCCGCCTTGTTGGGTAGATTTGAGCCGCCCGAGCCTTCCTCCACAACTCAATCCTCTACCTCAGGTGGCATGACCAATTACCCTGAGCATTGCCCAAGTGTAAGAAAAGCCGACCTCCCACTCCTCGGGGATGGGGGGGCAGGGATGCACGAAAATCACTCGGGACCGGAGGCAAAGCTGATCTTTTGGGTCCAAGTCAGACGCCGTCCCCCCGGCCTGCCTAGCGCTGACCCACGCCGGCAGCCACCCACGGCAGGTCCCGGTGACCCGACACCCAGGT